TACGTTAGTAGTAGTACGTAGTACGTACGTACGTACGTACGTACGTACGTACGTACGTACGTACGTTACGTAGTACGTAGTAGTTAGTAGTAGTAGTAGTAGTAGTAGTAGTAGAGAGAGAGAGAGAGAGAGAGAGAGAGAGAGAGAGAGAGTGGCTAGAGAGAGAAAACGAGAGAGAAAATGGGGTCTGGCTAGATAGAAAACCAAGAGCAGAAGATGGTTAGAGCAAAAGAGAGCTGTTTATAGAGAGAGAGTCGACAAACTCCAAAATATTCATCGTCAAATTGAGAAAGAGACAAACAAACAAGAAAATAATTATGGTCACTTGTGGGATGAGTTAACCGGTTTAGGGTGTGTGGCACCTCGAGATTTGGTATTGATCAGACAATTAGGGGCTAAATTCACATCAAGCCTGTGTATTTTACTACACAAAATCAGTCATCCATGAATTTGAGTTGAAAATAAGAAACACAATTTTTCTTACCAAAACTTGGAAGCCAATCCTCTAATATTTATTCTAGGTGAGTAAAGCAATGCCTCTCAATGTTTGCCAAAGGTCATCAACTACCCCAAATTGGACCATTAAACTAGATTTGGCATTCGAGTTCGGATCTAGTTGATTTGAGCTCTTGAAATGTTTTTGGCCAAATAGTGTTTGTATGTTTTTTGCCCTTGAAAATAAGCCCAGGACTTGATTAAGAACTCAAAAACAATCTTGGGTAAATTTCAAACAAGATTGCGCTAGGGCTACAAAGATTTGCAAGGTTTTTAACCAATGTTTTAAAAAACGGTCCTCCTGGCGCTTAGGCGCCTGCTTGGACAAAAAATCCCCCTGCTTAGACCCAAGCGGCCCTACACGGGCGGATGTACTTGGGCGAGCGCCCAGGTGGGTGCCCAAGGCGAATGTACCTGGGCGGGCACCCTTGCGGGCTAGGCAGGCTCCCAGGTGGGCTAGGCGTTTCTCTTTTTTTTAAAACTACGGGGTGCCTGAGGTTCTGGGCGCCCGCCTAAGCGCTGGGCGCCAAGCAGGCCACCTAGGGGCTGCCTAGCGTTTTTGAAACCTTGTTTTGAACTTTTGTCAAAGTTAAACCCTTGTGTGAAAATCAAAATCTTACGAACTTGAGAAGTTTTATTTTATTTGTTCTTTCAAATTAAATATTAATTGCTAGAGGATGCAAAAACAACTCTAAACCCTAACTTGTGGCCAAATCTCTACTTGGTTGAAGAGAAAATGAGAACAAGGGGGTTCGGTTCTTGCCCCCCCTTTACAACAGTGAGATCCTTGGACTTGGTAATTACTGAAAGACTCACCGACTTCTAACAGACATGATGAGTTCTCCTCAGGAACTCATCGAGTTTCTGATAACTTTCTTGAGTTACTATGGTAACTTGGGCGAGTTTGTCTACAGTGCCCCCATGGGCAAGCAGGGAGTTCCGGGCTCCCAAGCCTGAGCAACATTGGTTTAGTGTCACTACTTGGGCTCAGGTTGGCATGCATTGGCTCCCAGTGCTGCCCTAATGTAATAGGGAGCAACGTAATTACCTGAGGACATGGAGGCATTGCAGAGTGATCAGTATAACTTCTCTGATATTAGAGGTGTAATGATTTTGAACTTAGAAGGGAGTCCATTAGCATTATTATGGTACAGAGTCAAGGACGATATGGCTAAACATAAACATGCTTTAATAAAATATAGGAATGCCATTAACAGCCTTGGAGAACGTCAAGTATCCATGACCAGACTGAAGTGAACTTCACCCCAATATGGTGTATGATGGCACTTGCTGTGATCTCTTTCTCGGTGAAATAGACAGAATCTCTCTTTAATTATGAAACTACGAGCTTGTGCAATAGCTTGACCAATCATTATCAATGTGTGACTGAACACCTTGATATGCTGGCAAAAGTGCAAGATGAATTCACAATGAGGATTTCAACTCTTGCATTGCTAGTGATATAGTGTATATTACATTCCATAGTAGTTTACAGTTGAAATTACCCTGTTCTTTGGCTCTAAAGTTTAGGATGTAGCATTCATATGTAAATATATTGTTTTGGACTGACCCTATGTTTTTCTACTTGTTTTCCTTGGCAACATACTTTAGAGTAAACTTATTCCATGCTGCCATGATTGTGGTTAGGGTGAGGAAGGAGGATTATCAATGACAACAAAATTTCGATCGATAAGTGCATCAAAAGGGCTTCCAGTGAACTACTGTTCGGGGTTCCGTGAACTAGAAATTGGGGGTTCTATTGAATCTGATGGTGTGTATTTCTTCTTTCAAGAGTAGAAAGATGTTTCAAGACACAGTTTATGGCTTCTTAACAAAGTTATTATCTCATTCACTTTACTTGTACGTGGAATAGAAGTATTTCTTATGACAGTTCACATATTCAAAAAATGCAAATGTTTCTTATGGTGCATGTCTTATGGAATTTAACATTTGCATGGGCCACCTATGATTATAAAATTCCGATAACAATAACGGAATTTTCTTGTTTTTTCTTCATGTTTATCATAGTTCCTTTTCCTTCCCTCTATACCAATTTTTAATGGGTCATCTGCTGTGATGTAACAATTTATGTTCGATATTCTCTTGCTTGACATCTGATCATTGCAAGTAACCATATTAATTGTGAATGCATAAGCCTTAAAAAAACAAAAAAAAAATGTGGGCATCCGTTCTTTTTTTTTTGTTTTTTTTAACAAGGTTACGTAGGAATGGAACCGAAGACGTATTGCTATGAAAACCCAGCTGCTATGCCTGGACCCAAGACCGATTCCTGGGCACATGTTCCTTTGTCAATGTCGGAATAATGATTGTGGATAACAGAATAGAATATCCTCTTTAGTTGTTTCTATGCTGCAATGTTATCGGCCCTCATCTTGCAAAACTGAGGTAATCATTGCTTCTGTTCATTGGGAGAAGAATCTTCTTCCGGAGCGTGTATGTTAGAAACTATAAAACAGGACAAGCTTCTTGCATTCTATCACATTTTTTGTGGCCTTTCTTTAGTCATGAACTTTGAGATCATCTTGTATAAAAAATTATAAGCACACCCTGTTGCTGATGGGGAGGGCTTTCTAGAGGTGCTATGGGGTCAATGTCAATTGAGTTTTTGTCATTCAGCTGTGTGTGTGTGTATAGAGTTGGAAACAACCAGGTTCTGTGCCTGCTGCTCCAGCCTTCTACTTGGACTCTTCCCCCACCTTTCTGTATCTAAATATCCCTTGCATCTTTCTGATACCACGACTTCATTTTGTTCACCTTGGCCACCCTAGGTCTGCGCTAAGGTCTCTCAGCCTAGTAGGTGCTCTCATTAGGATCTAATGTATGGAATGCATGATAGTGCCTGTAGCGTGTGCATCTAAGTCTTATGTGAGAAGATCTTAATATTTCATCTTGATTCGGATCGATATCAAAGGCATGTTACACTAGAACCAAGAAATTTGGTCCAACACGATTTTTGATCGATTTAAATATATGAGTAATGATCCTATGAGACCCTCCCACACCCATGTGTGTAAGACCCCAAAGGATCACCATTAAATTTGGCACAGATCTCTTAAAAAAGTCAAGTCCCACACCCATGTGATAATTTTCTAGAGATTTGTGTCAAATTTAATTGTGATCTTTTGAGGTCCTACACAAATTGGTATGGGAGGGTCTCATAGGATCATTACTCATATATATATATATATATATATATATGGAAGATACTACAAAACGTCTATAAGTTAAAATGAACAGTGATTTCGCTTACCCTCGTCACCGTCCAAATTTCATCACACGGTCACGATTGTTCGGTAGTGTTTCATTTTTCATTTGTTTTTTTACAAATCAGAATATCTTAAAATTTGGAACGTGTGTTCATAAAAAATAGATGAATCTACGAAAAATATCAAAAAAATATTTTACATGAAAACAATTGATCCAAATACCCCTAATATATTTCGGGGGTAATTTGGTTAATATGTTTTCTTGAATTATTTTTTTTATATTGTTATTAGGTGCGCCTCAATAATATGTACATATGCTCCAAATTTCAGGTCATTTCAATTTTTTAAAAAAAATTGAAAAATAAAATACTACTGGACAATTGTGACTGTGAGATGAACTTTGGACGGTGAAGAGGGTAGACGAAATCACTGTTCATTTTCGTATATAGGCGTTGGGAAGACTTTTCCATATATATATATATATATATATATACTTGTGAACCTCTTTTTTACTCTTACTGCCCTCACATTATTTGAAGACCAAAGCTTAACATACAAGGGCATTTTAAACTTTTACTTCAAAACTTGAAAAAACTACAGAAAAACTTGAACCTACGTTATATGGGAATAGATCTTGTCAGCGCATGAGCTAATGGAATAGTGTAAGTCCAACCACTTAGAATGGCCCAAATTGAATTTGGGTCGATCTGATGGTCATGACCTCGTTTCGTAACATAATTTTGATATTTTGTTTTACAAATTCAAATTATATAAAATTTGAAGCGTCCATTCTTCTCATCAAGATGCACCTAATAAAAATATTAAAAAATAATTCACCAAATAAATTGATCGAAATACCCTATTTCGATCAATTTATTTTTGGTGAGATTTTTTAATATTGTTATTAGATTCTTCTAGTTTTAAAAAATAAATTCTTCGAATTTCAAGTGATTTATATTTATAGAAAAAAAACTAAAATTTAAATATGAAATACAATTGTGACCATTGCATCAAC